CCCCTCGGCGGCGCTCTGCCTGCGGGCTCTCTCCCGGGAGAGCCGCTCGCACCCCGGCAGGGCCGACCCGACCCCGGAGCTGCCCTCGGCCGCCGCGCCTCGGGCCGGTCCCTCGGGAGGAGCCGTGGAGCGTCACCGTTGAGCGGGTGTCAGGGCTGTGTTCGGCTTCGGGGGGCTGGCGGGGCTCCCTCGGTAAGCAGCTAGGCTGCCGCGCTCTTGTGCGTTTGGTAGGGGAAGGCATTTCTCGGAAAGCGGGATCTTTAGGGCTCCTGATCCGTCCTAGTCTGTGTTTGAACGGGAAATTAAATTCAACATCATTTCTCTTAACTTATTCGCTATTCGCTTAGCCACCTTGTGTAAGAGACGTAGAATACAGGAGGGAAGTACCAAGTATGTTATGCACCTAAAAACTTTAAAATCCTGAAATTAAAAAACATAAGTAATTAGCAACTAGAAATTGAAAGACTGGTTATCTTGACGTTACACGCCAGTTTGAAAAAAGTTTTTCTGACTTTGAATTCCTAAACCATTTTTTGACTAGACTAGGTATTGAGCTAATGTGAAATTGTTTCTTTCACATAGCTGCTTCAGTAGGTCAGCTACTCCCATACCAATTTTTTTTTTCTTCTGGTGATCTGAATTTACTCAAAATTTTAGTGACCAAGCCCATTTAAATATTGTTTGTGCTGTATTTCAGTATTTTAGTCAGGCCTTATCATAAATGGGTGTCTTTCAAATTACTTCTAGAATATTTTTATGAAGAGAAATATCTTCGTGAGTTTGCCCGCCTTGTGTATTTAAAATGCATTTTCATGAGAAACTAATTTTTCTAATAATGTTGAGTCTTGCCCAAAGGTCAGTTCAAAACTCCTGCAGCTGGGACATTTGTTTTGGTTTGTGCCTCTGTCTCCTCTGATGTATCTGGCTATCAGCTTTGAGGAGTTTATATATTCTGCTCTGCATTTCTAAATCTACCTGAAATTCAACAGAAGGTTCAAAACCTGCTGTTAGGAAAAAGTCTGTACAGAGATGTGTAAGCTGTACCATTGCATAAATGCTTTACTTCTGCTAAATGCTGTATTTGAGGTTTCCAAACAGGTTTGTCTTCAAGTTCATTTATTTGTCTTCTACAGGTTTAAGAGCACTTTGGTATCTCCTTGGGGTGCTTTCCTCTTTGTCCAACTGGCTCTAGCAAGCATCATGAGGTTTTTCAGTGGTTTTACCATATCGTTTGATGCCTCCGAAGAAGAAATGTACCCACAAGGCCAGGAAGGCAGAGCTGATATTCCTTGAGAGGCCGCGAGAGGGACCCGTCCAATGCTACGAAACTCCACTACATTCGGCCGAGAATCCAAGACGTGCTCCTGCGAGACCTGTACACCAGAACACCTCTGCTGCCTGGGTTGGTAGATATTATCCTTCCTCCTGCGTCCCACAGCAACGGTTTTCAGGTTTCTCACGCATGTCTGGACAGAAAGTTCTCTGTTCTGGATTCTGAAAGTTAGTAGCACAGACCTGGATTCATTGTGACTGCCTAAAGCATAAGTAACTACTTGTGAATTGCTTCCCTTTCTAACTACAGCCATTGAGGTCTTATTTGAAGTCATAAAACTGTGTGCAGTGTGTACTGATTAATACGACTATTTTCCTTCTGAAAAACGAATTCTAATCAGGAAAACCCTGTTTTCTATGGCAACTGAAAAGCCTGGGTGTACTAAACATTAGAGGAATTTTTTTAATTGGGTTGCTGCTTGAAATAACTGCCGAACTCCAAGTGTAACATGTTAAAGTACTAGGTGTTTTGTTTAAATCTGGCACTGCTGAATTTATAGAACGTGGGTTTTCATTTCAGGATTATTTGTTCTAACCTGCTCTCTTCCATTTTGTGCATTTTGAATAGCTTCTTTCCATATCGCTCTTCTGATGGATTCCTTTTCTGGTCTGAAAAAACATTCCAGGGACTGTTTGCAGTGTCCTAAGATAATCCTTATATAATGTAGTTTAAAGATTTTTTTTTTTTTTTTTTTTTTTTT